AGATAGATAGATAGATAGATAGATAGATAGATAGATAGATAGATAGATAGATAGATAGATAGATAGATGATAGATAGATAGATAGATAGATAGATAGATAGATAGATAGATAGATAATAGATAGATAGATAGATAGATAGATAGATAGATAGATAGATAGATAGATAGATAGATAGATAGATAGATAGATAGATAGATAGATAGATAGATAGATAGATAGATAGATAGCAATGGTGACAATTTCAGCCTTTCAGGAGTTTTCACATGTGAAAACACGGGTTTACAGTTGAGCCCTAAACAGCGGAGCTTTGATTTTGTTTGCTTGATGCAGACACACTCATGAAATTTCCTAAAATTTATAAATATTCACTGAGAAACAAAAAGCTAATCTTTGGATTTCTTCTGACCTGTTAGCAGTTGCAAAAGAATCAGGAGTTATTAATGGTTTATTAAAGGTTTACGGCTCAGTTTTTATCTATATTGTTAGCTATTATTTAGTGGTTTTTCAGGAGTAGAATAATTACAAAGTGGTTCTAAAATATTGTTCATCAATTATAAAGCTCCGCCGCGACCTTGCGTGGATATACGGGTATAGAAATAGGAAATTTAAAGCTTATTAGTTTGACCCAATCCATGACAGAATATTTTTCTCCATAATGAATAAATTTCGGCTCTTTCAAAGTTAGACTTTAACTTTGCAAACAGTTTTAATTACTTTGAGGATTAAAATCATTAAACTTTTAGACTCTTTAAAAAGCAAATTATGGCAACTGGAAATTAATTCTTTGAAATCCCTGGTGAATTATCCGCCTGAAAACATTAAAAGACATGCAAAAATCCAGTAACATGGACTTGTACTGCAACTCATTTCACTATATGCCTGAACAGAAAACCACTGTATCTAATTCACTTCAATCCAATGTGGAAATCTCCTTTGTTTTTCAAACATCACACACTACTTGAAAAGGGGATTACCACAGTATGCATGTGGCATTTTTACACTAGTTTGTCCTAACAAGCCACAGTCCTGTCATGCACGCCCAGTTCGCCGCTGCGTAATTACTGCAACCCTCTGAGAATTGAGCAACACGTTAGTTTTCACAGCGGATTAAACACAGCCATGTCCAAACGCTGCATTACTGAGTAATCCTGATTAACTAACGCAGCATGAACTCCTCCAGCTGCTTCTGCTGGCAAATGGATCCACTAACTTTGACCATGAAACACACATAATGAGCTTAAGGCCGATAGAGCTTAAGGCCAAAAAGTTTTCTATGTCACTACATGTGCGTCCCTTCACTTCACTCCATGTGCCCCAACATGACCCGTGTCTGTGCTTTCACAAGTGCTCAGTTAAATGAGCAAATGCCTACCGGAACACAACAAACACACAGTGCAGTGGCTGGTTTAAATGCCTACCTCGGTTACATTTTCTATGGTTAGTGGTATGGTTAGGGAAACTTTAAGGTGGAATAAGGACAACTTTAAGCAAACTCTAACTCTGGCACAAGCACATGCTGGAGATGGTAACATGGTGGATCTGAGCTATACCCTAGCACACACAAGGACAAAACCAGCAGTTAGCCCACAATAATCTCTGAAAGGATAGTAAAATGGGAACTCAAATGAAAAAATTTACTTTGACAGTATCACTGTACGTTCATACATACCTTCGATTCAGGTAAATTCAGTGTATTTATGCAAGGCGTCTGCCTCACGGAATAAATCTGGGAGTTGGCTCCACAAGAGAGGAGCCTGATAGCTAAAAGATCTGCCTCCCATCCTATTTCTAGACATTCCACCGGGAAACCTGCAGTCTGAGAGCGAAGTGCTCGGTTAGGAACATATGGAACAATCAGATCACTGATGTATGATGGAGCTTGGTTATTAAAAGCTTTATACGTGAGAAAGAGGAACTTAAAATCTATTCTGAAATTAACAGGCTGCCAGTGTAGGGAAGCTAAGACAGGAGAGATATGATTTATGCTCTGTATTTTGTACTCCTTCACTCATGGGTAAATGAACATTCATGTTTTCGGACATTCAGTGGAATTAAGACATAACGTATTTGAAAGCCATCACAGTAAAAGCTGGAGTTCAGTGAACTTACTTACAGCTTTTGAAGCTAGGTGCATCGCGTTTTCATCTTGCAGTACCTAGCATGTGGGTAAGGTGATGAACGATGTAAACTAGTACTGCAAAATGAATAAACACATTTAGACTGCTGTAAAACTCAGTGATGCTGCTGCTTTACTGCTTTTCAACATGTTGTATTGGTTTTGATACCTGTGATGTAACGCTTCATATTTATGAAGCAAAGGTCTTTCACATGTTGCCTTAAACCTTCATTTGCTGTTTTTAACCAGAGAAAAGTACGTCTACATGGGGAAATATTACTGTAAATAAATCAAGGCTTCACATATGGAACTATTTTATTTAAAAAAAGTGATTAATAGCTTGGAGTTGAAGTCATGCTTTTAATATTTAGTAATTTTGCATA